GATCAGTGGTACAAAGTCTAGGTGGAGGCCAGTAACGAGCAATGTACCCCAGGGGTCAATATTGGGGCCAGTCCTATTCAATGTCTTCATTAATGATCTGGATGATGGAGCAGAGTGCATCCTCAGCAAGTCTACTGATTATACGAAATCAGGAGGAGTGGCTGAGGGTCATGATGTCATCCAAAGGGACCTCAACAGGCTGGAGAAATGGATTGACAAGAACCTCTTGCAGTTCAACAAAGGGAAGTCTAAAGTCTTGTATGTGGGGAGGAATAACCCCAGGCACCAATACATGCTGAGGACTGACGGGCTAGAAAGCAGCTTTGCAGAAAAGGATCTGGGGGTCCTGGTGGGCACCAAGTTGGACATGAGCCAACAACATGCCCTCACCACAAAGAAGGCCAATGGTATCCTGGACTGCATGAGCAGGACTGTGCCAGCAGGTTGAGGGAAGTGATCCTTCCCCTCTACGCTGCACTGGTAAGGCCACACCTGGAGTACTGTGTCCAGTTCTGGGCTCCTCAGTACAAGGAAGAGATAGACATACTGGAGAGAGTCCAGTGAAGGGCCACAAAGATGATGAAGGGTCTGGAACATCTCTCATATGAGGAAAGGCTGAGAGCTGGGACTGTTTGGCCTAGAGAAGAAAAGGCTCAGAGGGGATCTCATCAGTGTGTACAAATATCTGAAGGGAGGGTACAAAGAAGATGGAGCCAGGCTCTTTTCAGTGGTGCCCAGTCATAGGACCAGAGGCAATGGGCACCAACTGAAACACAGGAGAGCCTGCCTGAACATAAGGAAACATTTTTGACTGTGTGGGTGACTGCGCACTGGCACAGGTTGCCCAGAGAGGCTGTGAAGTCTCCCTCCTTGGAAACATGGTCATAGGCAGCCTGAGAAGGGGTTGGACCAGATGACCTCCAGAGGTCCCTTCCAATCCCAACCATTCTGTGATTCCATGGTTTTGTGATATCCATCTTTCCCTGACCCCTTCGACAACCAGCACAGAACAGCCACTGTAGCCTGATAAGGGAGCTACGCAGAGAGGTATCAGGGACCTTAGTCCTGCCAATTAGTTGTTTCCCAAAAAACCTCACTAACCTGAATATACAGGTGGCAGAGATACATCCAACTTAGGTACTGATAGATTTACGTGTGGGGTGACCTCTTCTGTGTGAAGATTTAGAGGGTAGAAGTGATGTCCTAAGCCTTTTTCCTTCAGTCAGCACACCCTCTATAATAACAACTAAGGCAGGTCATTCCCATGGTATCTTAAAACCACAACTCTAAATCTTCCATAGTATTTTTTTGGAAGGAAATAACAGAGTTTTTTCAACAGCTGAGTTATTAATGAAATGAAGGAAAAGATTCTGCTAAGCCTTTCCATATATTCAGATCTAGACTAAGGCGAAGCATGAAAAAGAAACACTGAAAATATTTTTTTTTCAGCATATATTAAACTTGTGAACTCTGGGAATTACTGATACAGCTATATCGCTTGTACATGGCACAAACATTAAAGTATAGTTCACTTTAATGTGATGGCCAAACCATCCATGTTAAAAACAAACCAGTGGTCCAAAATCATAATAAACCAATTACTGGCTCCACTGGATAATAATAACACAACAGTGCATTTGATAGGTATTCAGAAAAGCTATTTATGTATTATCACTTGCCAGAAGACTTTCTTCCAGCTTTTTTCACACTGCTTTTCCAAGAAAAGTAGGACCTCCAGCTAATTTTGCCCTGTCTGGTGAAAGAAACAACAGAACAAAAACACACTTTTCAAATGCATCCATTTATTTTGACGCCAATTCAACTCAAACAAAAACCACATTGAGAGAAAAGAAAAGGTCAGCAGAAGAAAGTAAAACAGATCAAAATCAATCATTGTGTCTGTCAAACACAGGAAGGCAGAAACATCCAGCAAGCCAACTAACCAGAATCCAAGCTCCACCAGTGGCCAGGTCCAACTGTTTCGAAGGACGGTGTGAAAATCCCACCCAAGACCTAACCAAAGAATATTGATATCTCCTAGAATGGGAATAAGAAGTGGCAATTCACAGAAGTCCTGTTACTGCACCGCCTGCCTTATTTGAAATGTTCTAGGCTCAGCCAATTTGTCAAGAATTGAATTGACAGCCACACAACTTCACTCAATTTTTCCCAGTCAAATTTTCTGTAATGAACTGGCTTTTGGCTTAGCTTGTGGCTATATTTACTGCTTCATTCAGGAGAGGCGAAACAGCCCATCACCTGCTTGTGTCTTGGATCCCAGCTCCCAAGCATGTTCTAACATCCTCCCCCCTCATGCACTAGGTAACCATCTGCTGACATCACCAGCTGCCTCATTCTGTGTATCACCCCAAAAGATCCCCAACACCCTCTCACTGTGATGTCAAGTACTACCAGAACACAGGCCAAAGCATACTCACAGTGCACTGCACTGAATGAGAAGGTAGGCTTAGTTCATAGATCTGCTCTACACAGTTTCCTGTGTCTTCTGAAGACAGACAATAAAGCTTGGGAGGAGAGGGGCAACTCCCCAGATATTGTCTCCTGCTTTGAAATAATATCTCTTTTGGGTTTCATAGACACAATATTTGAAAGGTTGTTACATTTAAAAAATTAAGCTTTACTTAGGTATCATTCCTTGGGACATAAGCATATCATTTTGTTGTACCTTCCTGCCTTCCCCTACTAGAAGGTTTTCCTCATCAAAAGGCTCATAGTGAGGTAATTCACTCCCTTAGCTGTGGATTACTGAAAGCTCTGGGGCTGAATCGTGAACGACCGTGCTTCCTGCTTTGGAGAGACATCATCCTGGAAAACAGTAATTTCCTTAGTTGGTGATTCCCCCTAGATCAACAAGGACTTGGGACTTTGGTCCTGCCAGCACCTGGCTCCACCTGACTTCATCATCTTTCTCCCACTGCTATCCTCCCCTATCTACTGCCAGCCCTCTAGCCTGAGTGGCCTCACTGAGCTATAAGCTCCTTTGCTTCTTCTGCCAAGGAATTGGGCCAGTTTGCCAGGGAACAGAACTGGGTGTCCTTCTGCGTGCATTGGATTGCATCCAGAGAGTGTTGTCCATACAGATGCCTTGACCATTGTTCTGGATCCTGCTGCTAAAGATAGGTGTCAAGGGCTGGGAATTCAAGGTTCCCAAGCCAGCCACCTGGAAATGCTGTGCAATGAACTACGTTGCTGGAGCTGAAGGCAGGTTTTAGGATTTGTATGGTGGCTGTGGACTAGTGCAGCTGCAGGGACATGGGAAATATATGTTCAGAACCCTTTTGATGAGGGGGTATGGACTGCTACTTATCAGTGGGGCTGGTGGTGGTATGATGGGTAAGACTGCAGATGGGTGTAAGTCTGTATATACACTGCAGATTTGGAGCTCAATGCAGTCAGATCATGACCTGATGCTATGGATGATGGCTGAAATGCCAAGAGACTGACGAAGTAAAATTGGTGGCATAGATCCCTGCCTCAGCGGGCAGTTGCTGTTCTGAAGCTGCAAAGAGCATCTGTGAATTGTGGCATCTCCCTATATGTGCAACAGGCAGGGGCAAAAAAAGTTACTATTCATACGCCCCAGCTGTAATTCTGGCAGCCAGAAATACATTTCCCAAAAAGGTTAATCAAGCTGGATAGATGAAATTCTGCTAGGGTCTGAACAGTGTGGATTCAGAACTGCATTACATTACAGAACCACAGTGGTCCTGCTGGAAGGGAAGTCTGGCTTCTGTTTCTTGCCCACTTGCAGATTGCAAATCAACAACTCTGAACATTTTTCTCTTTGCAGACCAGTAGTACTTGAATCTGAGTCAGCAGTATAAGATTCCCATAGTGCTCAGGTATATACCACAGCAGACCACCCAACACTCCGGAAACTGCCATCATGACAGAATTAATTTGAATTTTTTTCACTTGAACATGCTACATCAGCTTCTTTTCTTACAATACATATGACCCAAACCCCCAGACATCTTAGAACAGTAACATACTTCAAATATTTTCTTTTGCATTTCACTGTCATATGCCTGAGAAGAAGAGGGCTTGACCAAAATACCCTATTTGTCAAACCTTTGCCAAAGTCAGGATAGCAAAGATGTACCAGTGAGATGAATGTATATTGCTCCTTTCTCCTTGAGACTCTCCTCAGACTCCTCTTGCCATTGTAAGATCCATATCCAAAAGCTAGCAGATCATTAAGTGCAGAGCAATGCAGAAGCAGTATAAAGGTACAACTCAAAATGTAAGGAGGTAAAACAAAGGCCTCTCAGCCTTCTCCGTGTGATGAGCCATTGTTTTTTAGTCAAAAGGAGCCTTGTCACAGCTTGTGGAGAGCAGAGTGAACCCAGTGCTTCCCTTTGTACCTATGAACTTCTACTAAATGTTATTGCACACCCCTACTGGGCTTGTCATAGAGCAAACAGGCTCCTGAGGGCTTCCCCAGGAAAACCAAGGATTCTTCCAGAAGCAGCAGGGCACAGACACAAGGGAATGCTCTGCTGGCTCCTGATGGAGGAAGCAGTAGTGCTTCTTCACATGCTTCATCTAAGAAATGGCTGGTGGTTTTTGAGAGAAAACTTTCAATGCTGCGAACCAGCGCTTCACTGGGTAGAAAATACAAGTCCTGGTGCTTTTATCTTCCACAACAGAGCAGCTCAGAACAGAGGCAACTTGTTCAGGTATAAACACTTGCATGGCGTTCTAGAGAGCAGAGGGGTTTATACTGTCCTAATCTAGCATCTCTGCTCACAAAGGGCTAATCAACCAGTGTTGAAAGACAACTTCACTCAAGTGAAAGGAGGACTAAAGCATTTGCTCTCGGCACAGAGGTAGAAAGACAAAAATCATTGCAATTCAGGAAAAAATTCTTTTCTATGAAAAGTATCATGGGTTTAATGTCATCCTTTTCAGAGTGGGACTGGAACTTTTCAGTGAGTCCAAATTCACCAAGTGAGACTTTCACAAGTGAGACTTTCTGAGTGCAAGTCCAAACTTTCTCCTCCCATTACTTGAAAGTTTATTTCTAGCTTCTTGTCATCAGTAATACCAAGCAACAGTATCACACCTCTTTAATCTGCCTCTTTTGTATTTGTTTTATTTTGTAACCTAGTACAAGTAATCAGTAGTAAAAGCAGGAATTGTTTCCCTTTTACAATTGCCAGAATTAGGCAGAACTCATGTACGTTTCCTCCCTAACATCCAGATGCACTAACAAAACCTTTGATATTTGGTATTTTATCCCTGTATCTTCCCCTAGAAGCTCAAATCTGAAACGTGATGCTACTGTATGACCTACCCCACTACTATAGGGAAATTGAGGGAAGGGAAATCCTATCAGGAACCTTTGAGTCCAATGAGGTACTAACCCCACTTTAAATTCCTTCTCATCCAACTGTATCACAAGACAGGTAAGAACAGAACTCGTAAAGGTAAATGATTTCATTAAAAGTATTTGATATCCATTTGCTGTTAGCGAAAGTATTTCCTAGTGGTTATATTTTTCTGGCAAGACACATTTTTTCTTTTTGTTTTAATGAAACAAAACATTTTCTACTTTGTGCAAAAGTCTGTCAGTTCCCTGGGAAATACGTTGATTACACCTGAAAAGAGGACTGCTAAAGTATGTTATAATGTGGCTTTAGGGCTCAAAATCTCCTGAAATAAGTTTCATAAAGAATAAAACCAATATGTATATTGTATTGGAAAAATGAGCATATTTCACAAATTGATCACCAACAATTATCTTGTTATTCTTTGATCTCCTGTTTTGAACCTTTTTTTTTTCTAGATTACAGGTTCATCTAGAATTACTAAGATAAACTTTAACATTAAAATTTAAAATTACAGGAAGCCTGCATTTTGCCTTCATAGTCATCAATATGTGATCAGGAAGTTTCAGGAATTAATGTCTTTTTACCATATTTTACAGGCCCAATTATACTGTTAGCTAGGGGGCAGGATATGGCAGAATTCCTGCAGTTTCTAAAGTTCTGGAAAGCTGAACCTCCATGCTGCTCAGTACTCATGACAATTTTTTTCTAATCTAAATTTCTATTTTTTACATACACAACAGATTCCAGGGTTAGCGTCAAGACCTCCAGTGTTCTTTCATGTGAGACTGTCTCTCTTTTGTTAGCAAAATTGATTCTTAGTTTCCATCCTACTGACAGCCTGCTGGTTTACTTTTACTGCAAACTTCTCCCATTATTTGGAATGTCTTATACCCGACATCTGAATTCCAGTCAGAGTATTTTGATATTATTGGATTGTCACACTTGTCAAACTGTGTCTTGATGCCTCCCACTTACATATCTTCCCTCGGGCAAATTTTTGTTGTATTCCTTGCATTACAGGAATTTGGGTGAATTTCCATCTGAACTGTTTTAACTGTTGACAGACTTGAAAGTTTACTGAATTATAGGCCTGATCTAAATTTTAGTGAAAGTACAGGAAACAGGAAAGGTTCATGTTGGCTACACAGGATACACAGTAAAAGGAAAAATTAAGCTCAGAATGGGCTGCAATGTCAGGATCTGAACACACCAGCAAAGCATCTTTCAGACGACAACTATGTTAGACCCAACTCTGAAACACAAGAAATAAGCATGGCCAGATCGTAACATTTCTTTTCTCTGTGAACAGGAACATCTGTATTGTAATACAGGCAGTAAGCTATATTTTTCTGCTAACATAAACACACACTCCCATGAACTCACCAATTTACACCTGAAAAGAAGGTGGTTGCATGTTTTACAGTATCATAAATGGTTTTTAAATGGTGCATTTTTTCTAGTCACATAATTACAAGCAAATAAATAAATAGAATACAGTTGTTCTCAGCTTTTAAAAATACTGCATCCATGAATTTTATTACATTATCATCTTGGACTAGAGCATTTGTTACCAAACAGCACCTGTGAACAACCAGAGGCATGTATGTGTATTTGTATAACGCTAGGTTATATATGTATACAAAGAAGGTACCCTAAGGATTTTACCCTATGATCAGATAGTAAAATTCAGCACTGCTATACTAAGATGATGAATATAGTTATTTATATGTTTATTGGGCAAGAGGTAATTAAAAAAAGTTCAGCCATTCCCACCCCCCAAAAAATTCACTGAATTCCAAATCAGTATGTTGCTCAGTGACTATGTCTACATTGGCAAGTATAGTGGACTACAGGAAAAGATGCAGAGAGTGAAACAGTTGGTGCTGAGGATCTGAGGTCCAGAAAAAAATGTGTTTTAGGTGCTCTTTACTTTGTGTTACCTCTAGTGCGATTCCAGGAACTGAGGGTCCATTTGTGGCTGTGGTGCCATCCTGGTGTGTTCCTGGAGCACATCTTCCAGTTAATTTCATCCAGAAGGAACCCAGTCCATGTACTCCAAGACCAAGGCACTGCAAAATAGAGACCATTGGGAGATCCATGTCAAAAGTGCACTCCTGATCCAAATTAAAATGCCAGTGTGAATGCACCCTATGTGAACTCATACAGAGGCAGGTCCTAATCCTATCCCTCTTAAGAACTCCCTTTCCACAGACCTTCTGGAAGCTGTTGGCAACCCCACCCCTCAGATGTGCTGGCTTCATGCACTGATCAAATCAGTTACTGAAGCCCTTCACAAGCTCTCAATCGAAGACACTGTATTCATACGCTCTGGTCTGAGCTCCCCACAACAAAACAAATTTGAAGGGAAAAATGTAACTTTTTAAAAATAAAGGAGGCACTAGTGAACTCATGTTCTGATCCCAGAATGTTAGTGGGTTTGGGGTTTTTTTGCATCAGAAAGCTGGAAGTTGGCTGTCAGAATTCAGAACAAATCTAAAATTGTGGAAGTTAGAAATGGTAATAGTCCATATTAAATCATTGACTATATTGGTGAGACTCTTAAGGATTGTTCATGATACACTTTTTAAAACTTTGTTCACCCTAGCCCTCATTTGATATTCTTTAGGCAGAGACTTTTTTTCTGGGTCCCTGAGATCTTCAGTATAAACTGGATCAATATCAGCTATAAATGTTTCTTTGTCAGAAGGAGACTTGGGAACATTTTAAGCTTAACAAAGTCTTGTCTGGGCTGAATGATCAGACCTTTGTGTGCAATGCTTCTAAGATAAAGTGGTTGCTCTGCATCTTAGTAACCTATAGATAGCAGTCAACAGGAATGATTTATTAATGTTTCCAGTGAGAGTCAGCTTAATGATTACAAAAAGCACAGCCATGCAGGTGACTTGCCATCTGCCTGCCTACTTTCGGAAAGGGGAAATGAAGCTTTAGACAGAGCTTAAGATGCTTGAGTTCCTTCAGAAACTTAAAAAAAGAAAAGCTTTCTGACAATCTATGGCACATTGGATTCTTACTTTGGTTCATTGTACCATAGAAACGTATCGCCCTCTGCAACCTGGCAAAACGGGTAAAGGAACAGCATCAGGCAGCAGCAGAGCGGTGCTGAACCACACGGAAAGAACTACAGGGTAGGAGGGCACCACGCTGCCAACAAAACAGAACATGGCAGCACTGCCTGTGTCTTGTAGATCATGATCTCTCCCATACATTTCCCTAAGATCTGTTTAGATACCTAGGACTCTGCCACAGTTTGAGTCTAAATGTGCTCTGAGAAGTTTTTGTGGCCAGTATTTTTTCTTCCTTAAAAGCTCATAACGAAGGTCAGGATTGTAATGCTCACTGAAATGCTCATAGCCACACAATAATGAGCCTATTTCCCCTCACATTTTAGGAGATGTGGGCTCAGGGACATTATTCTACTTTTGAATCAATGTAAGACGAAGTCAAAGTTGGGGGAACCTCACAACTGAAAAAAAAGGTAAGCCTGAATCTAGCTAGTACCTGCAGAGTGGCACTTTTTCCCAGTATAGCTTAATAAAAAACACCCTTTCCCCCCTTCATCTCCAAAGATCAACGCTAGCAAAGATAAATAACATCTTTGCTTAAACAAGGATTTCTTTAGCTGATACACCTCAGTCCAGGAGGAATCACACATCCAGAAACCTAGAGCAACACCATACTTTGGAGCACAGGGAGAAACCCCAAGGTAATTGGGAGCGAGCTGGAGGATCTGCATGATTCACCACAGCCTGTGCTGTGATAGCAGTGCAGTGGCTACACCACAGTCAACAAAGGCAATCCTATGGGTCTGCAGCCATCTCCAGCTGCTGCACTCATCAGTAAAGAAACACCCAATATCAGAAAAAGATGGTAGTACAGGTAAGGTCTAGCTAAAGCAAGAATAAGGGCCACTCAGCGATAGAAGGGCTGACAACAAAAATACAGATATGGCTGCTGGTTCCCAACCCACTCACCTAAACATCACTCTCCCTGGTTTCATATGAAGACAGCACACGAGTAAAAACAACCCGAGGGTGACCATCCCCACCCCATACCACAACAGTTCATTACTACCTTGGTAAGTTTTTCAGAAAATCCTGGACAACTTAGTCAAATTTAAATCACTCATTTTGGATCTTACAGAATCATAGAATATCTCAAGTTGGAAGGGACCCATAAGGATCACTGAGTCCAACTTCCTGCTCCTTGCAGGACTTACCACCATAATAAGAAGATGGTTGGGTGTGCATGTGTTCTCCTCGCTGGAAAACTGCTGCCACTCAAAAGAAAGGAAGCTTTAAATTTTTGGTGAGTTCAGTGCCCAACTTTACAACACCATAAACCAAAACCATGCGAGGTGAACATGCATCTAAACACATTGAACTGTTTGATTTCAAATATCCTCAGCCACTAGCACATCCACGTGAAGTGCCCGACACAGCTTGCATTCGGTGTGAATTACAGCTACTAAACAGTAACATTTCTCAGCCCTCTAGAGATGGAGAGGGGAGATTTTCAAAGGCACAAATAACAAATTCTGAAATCAGTGGGAATTAGATGCTAAAGCTTCCATCTGTGCCATTGCATATATTCGCTGTCCATATGCCACTTACGTAGTACTGAAGGCATAATGCCGGTATCTACATGCCGGCAACTGAGACTCAGTTACTCTGTAAGATGTACACGCTGCACGTATCTATCACCTTCTTTTTTGCTCTCACTGATCAAAACATAGTAGACTTGATTCAACCTTCATTAAAGAATTGCCAATCACCATTGTACTTGCTTGTCCTAGTTACAGTTCACCACAATAGCATTACCCAGAATAAGGCTGAGTAACTCAGAGCCAAGAAAATAAAGCCAAGTTGTCATTTTAAAAAAGATTTCAAGTAACCATCACTGCTGCTGCCATTAAGGTACATTTTGGTGTTTTTTTTCTTTCAGATATAAAGAGTTCAGGGAATCCTTTCACTGCTGCAAGCTACCCTGGGGAGCGGAAAGGGAGCGTGGAAGAATTGCACTGCCTGTACTGCCAGAAGACAAATGGGCAAAGGATAAGTCTCCATGTACATTTGTTAAAGAACATCAAAGTCACAATAGTGGTGTAGACCCTTGGCCAAGGTAGGCTAGACATATGCTTCTCACAGTCAAAATGTTTAAGCAAAGTTTTTTTAACAAGAATAGCAACAGACAGCTAACAGGTTAGACAGCAATGTAGACTGAGATGTGCAAATATCTGCATTCCAAAAATGGGCAATTTGAGCTTCAGCTCTTTTCACAAGGCCCTAAATATTAACGTGAGAATATACTGATACCCACAAATATCCACACAGTGTTTTGCTGAAACACCTAAAGTTCCAAATCTCGATCATTTTTTTTCCCATAATTTGATAATTATTTACTGTTGGCTGCTGTCCCAAACACCCTTCCTGACCTTAAAAATGTCCCTATTGGCCTAATTTACAACATCCACAAAGCCCACAGGCATAAACATGAAAAGTCAGTGCTTAGCTTTTTCAGAGGCTCTAAAGTGAGCATTGCTGCTCCATGGCAGCACCCTCCTGTGACACAGTCTGTCATAAGGGAACACCCTTGGTACCAGCTGTCCTGTCTTAAGGGTGGATAGGACCTGGCCATCGGGATGGAAGTCGGGTACTACTGTGGTGTGATGGGGCTGAGAGGGGAGGAGGGGAGTCTCGGTGAGTTTAGTTTGAGACAGAGGTGCTCAGCACTTCTGAACACACGGCCTCGCGTGACATCCAGAATGCGAAGTCTGACCATAGGTGCTCAGGTTGCTCAACCGACAGCACCTGGACACAGAAGCACGTGTTACAGTGGACAGTGCTAATGTGGGAAAGTGCTTAAAGAGGAAAGAGAAGGCAATAACCTCTCTAAACTCCTGGTTAGACCCAGAATATTCTGAGCATATTCCTGTTGGACTGTGCTATAACCCCAAGCCTTGGGAGCCCTTGAGCCAGCCATAAAAGTCAAACAAATCCCTTCTGATTCAGCATTTCTCTCCCTTTCTTGCAGCCAACATCTCTTCTTCAGCCATGCAGTTAAGGCCACCCTTTCCTTTTAGCAACAGACACTTGATTAGACCCTCTGGGTCAAGCTCAGCTTTAGCAAGGCCATGTCAAAACTCTAAGGCTATTTCTAATACCAGGAAAATCTTACTGGTTGTGGCTGATTTTTCCAACTGCATTTCCTTCATTTTGGCACTCCTATTTGCTCTCTCTTCTGTTGTGCAGTTTTGGGATTTTTTTTTTAACCTGATGTCCCATACTAACTGCTTTGTTTTCCACTGTTTAAACTCAAAGATAGGCATGGTGCTGCCTTCTCTTTCACTGAAAGGGACCATGCAGTTTGGCTGAATTCTCAGAGCCCTTTGGCATCAGAAGGAGCTGAAAGGGATCCCCATAACATAGGAATAACTTAACTCCTTACAGGATCAAAAGTTGGAGCCTGCACCCATTCAAGGCATTCCTGCAGCTCCTATTGAGTGTTAGGGGTGTGTGGTGAAGAGCTGTAAGGGTCAGGCCTTCCAAGAGGGAAATACTCAGCGTTCTCAGGAACTTAAGATTCAGGCATGGGTGTGCAGCACCCCCAATATCCAGCCCTGCATGACTTAGATTTGGAAACTGAGGATAGATTTCCACACTTGTAGCATCTACAAGTTTTGACATCTGAGAAATCAAGACAAAAACATATCAATTGATATGGATTTTTATAAGCAAATAGAGCATAAGCTTTCTACATTTATGCTTTCTCTTTGCACAGAGGCCTTTCCACGGAGCAGTACTGTGATATCACTCAGCTGAAAAAAGGTGATGTGCGTATGAATGGTGAGCTGTAAGTTTAAACTGTGCCTTAACCAGACTGTGAATTTAGTGATTATAACAGCAAACTGAATATTCATTCCACTCTGGTGATATTACGCACATATGATATGAAGTAGAGATATGATATGAAGCAGAGATACAATATGAAGCCTGAAGGGCCATGTTCTGTAAAAAGGGATTAGCTAGTAACAAAGGAGAGCAAACAGTTGGGAAGGAAATTCAGAATATGGCACTGTGTCCCTTCAGTTTAATATCTCTTCAACAAGGGTCTCTGACTTTGTTTTACAGGTTGTCCAGCTTGTAATACTCAAAAATATTAGCCTTTCTACTAGTTAGAATCCAGATAAAACTGAAGTAACTCAAGTAACCATGACACCATCTGTATGTGTATTTCACTCCATTTTTCTGGTATATGTACAGTAACTCAAGTAACCATGACACCATGTGTATTTCACTCCATTTTTCTGGTATATGTAGAGATATATATTTTTGGAGGAGGCTTGGCTGATGCTGTTCAAGTGAAATCAGAGTGAATTTGGATGCTGCTGGAGTTCTGCAGTCCAACATTTTGCCACTTGATGGCAGCAGCAAAACGCTTAAATTTGATGAAGCTACCAAGATTTGAGTAACGTAATTTAAAGTGTAAATGTAAATTCTTCAAAAGCAGAAAATGAACAAGTTACACCCCTCATATTAGCATTGATAGCCAGATCATATTAGAAAGCTGAGAATAATTCTGCAATGATTTCCGTCAGTTATCTTTATAGGGCTATGAGGGGCATTGACCCCACCATTCTTCTTTTAGCTTCCCTGCACGTGAGGTACCTGCTCCCCACTTTGTGTGAACTCAGACACTCTAGAAAAGCAGGAGAGCTAATGGTAAATAGGCCACAGAAAATGCACAAGGAAACCTGCAACCCTGCTCTTGGTAGTCCACTTCTCTCTTCATTACCTTATTACAGCACCCAGCACAAGCAGAAGGGAGTTTGGTTAACTACAAGAGTGTACAAGCCAAAACTCCTTTTTCCTGGGACAGCTGATGGCCTTTGACCAGCAATGCACATTAGAGGCACTGGCTGCGCTGCTTCTGCAGAATTTGATTACAAGATCAAGGAATTAGCAAGTTTTGCTGCAAGTTTTAAAGTTTAAACAACTTTAAAGTTGTTTTAAAACCAACATCCATGCAAAGCGGGCACTCTCATTTTGCACAGTCAAGCTGGGTGGTTCTGTTTTATTACTTAACCCACCCTCAAGAAAACTCCATTGACTGCAGTGGAATGATGCTGCAGAATAATCTGGTTCACTGTGACTTGCTAGTCAGGTAAGTGTCCTGTTACGTGACATTCATATTGGTATCCCTGAAACAGCAGAAACAGAGACAGATTGTGGAATAAATTAAAAACTGCCCTTTGCATGGGGTAGGAGGCCTGCTGTGTTTTCAGTAATTTCTAGGCTGGCCAACCTCAAATGCTGCTTGCTAAGGATGCTATGGGACCCATTCACTTCAGAGCAAGAGCGTTCCTCATGCCAGCTCCTCACCAGCATGGATCGTCCACATACACAGGCTGAGGTAGAGGTCATGGCACCTTTCTGGGGATTTGCTTCCTTAAGAGGAAGTAACCAGGGACTGCTGTGACTCCAGCCCTTGTGCTGGCTGTATAAGGAGGAAAGAGGTTTTACACAGGAGTAGATCAAGCTCTGCCCCCGTGTGTACTGAAAAGTGCATGACCTTGGACTCTGAATATTTCATCAACAGCACGTTGATGTACTCTCCCCACTATTTTGCACTCGTATCTTAACATGAAACATGCTGGGTCTCTAAAAATATTTTATGATCTGTGATTTGTCCTAGTTTGAGCAATTTTTTTTTCCTATAGGGTTGTATTTTCTTGGTCTTTGAAAGACTTTTAAATTGAAGGAAAGAATATATCCTTTAAAACAAAAAGTGAAACACACACCAAAAAAATCTTCCATGTTCATAGTCTAAGGTCCTTCAGAGCTGTCCTTCTTCCTGCTGTCAAGGACTATTAGGCCATGACAGCCACGCGGAACCTTTCCTGAAAAATACCCTCTGAGCGGTGCTCTGCAGGGCTACCTGGGAGCTATTAAGACTCAGTTTATTTACCTTATAGACTGTGAGGGCTCCTTTGAGCCATTACTGTCTTCTGTGGGAAATGAATTACCAGGCATTTTCAATAACTCTGTACACTTTCATGGGACAACTGTGCCTTTGCCTTAAGTATGCACACTACGTACCTTTGTGCAGTTTTGTACTAAAATGAATCACTGGGTTTGTGCAGATGTGCTTTTGTAAGTGCAGTGGGCCACACACATAGGCCCTCCCAGTCAAATGTACATCTAAAGGTGTAATGAGTCCTCATGTTCACAGCAAGCAAGACTGCAAAAACTCTGAAAGGCCTTGAAAAATACCCTTCAGCATTGCCAAGAACCCTGGTTATACACAGACACACACTACATCAGGCTAGAGCACTTGCCACTGTCCTTCCAAAGACAAGTCACACCAATAAGGTTTTCAGGGGGTTCAGTGACAGCACTGAATATATCAAAACTGGCTTTTTTCCGTGTGGGTTTTCATCTGCTTTCACTGTTTATCTCATGCCACACTGTGCTACCATTCCTCTGGCTATCCCCCAGCCCCC